TCAACTGTATCGATTTACGGGTAAACAATAACTAGTTAACGTTGGGAAAGTGATTTAGTTTTAAATTGGTACATAATCATGTGGGAAAATAAAAATATTGGGAGGGGGCCTTTTAATTTATCTTTTATATCCTCACATCTAAAGGCACATATCCTCACATCTAAAGGCACATGAATCATGATAGATGATACTGTACTTAGCAGAATGAATGACTAACTCTTAGTTTGGTATATTTCTTTTTTAAAGATTTTTACTCGCGGATAATCGAAGTGTCTTTTCTTTTGAAACATATCAACCACAACTCTCGCTGATTGCATTTGTTTTTTCTTTCTTTCTAATATAAGATTATGAGTTATCTTCTCTCTAATGATATTTTTCCTATGTAGAACTATAATGAGTAGCATGATTTCTGGCTCATCGAATTGAAGCGCGCAGCTCCGTGCACTAAACTTCTGTTATGCGCAAAATTCAAAAAAAGGATCGGATCATAAGGGTCTATTGTACGCAACCTTACTCAGCATTTCTGCAAGAAATTATTTTCGCAATTTCTTGCATAAATTCAAGGTAAGGATGCGTACCAAATTAAAGTGGCTAAATGTGGAGTACAAAATAGTGCCAGCATACTGTAGTGGTTCTGTTTCGGCCTAATGCATGAATAGGCTCTAGAAAAAGAAAGAAAACGAAATAATATCAGAAACGAGCCCACATGAAATGATAAAAAGTCCAAATTGATCGTATATAAAATCCAAGGGGACGAATGAAGTGTACAAAAAGATCCAACTTTTGGTGACCCCATATCACTTTAGCTTTTAGCTTTTGGTTTATTGGGGCAGTAGGGCTAATCCGTTGAATTATGTGCCGAATTACGAAGAAAAAGAAAAAGGATGGTATGTTCTTTGAGGAATAAAAAAACCTCAATTAGCGGAGGAACTATTGATTTGTTTTTTCTTTTTCCACAAGGCTCCACACATTAAATACAAAGTGTTACAAAGCATAGAATATGGTCACGCATGACGTTTTCCCCCATTTTTGAACCTTATCTTTTGTCCTTTTTCTTCAAAAAAAAGTCTCATACCCTCAAAGAAGTCATGTGAAGGATGAACGTCTATATTTTTGACGAGAAATATCAAGGGACAACACTTGGCTACATTTTCCTTTCTCGTGATACACCTTTATCCATCCATATTTAATGAAAACGGCTGTTTTAAGATACCTCTTCTAATGTTCAATATTTAGTAGAATTGTCTGCAAAAATAAGAAGAATTCGTTGTCAGGGGGTCTCAAGTGTTAGAATTCAACATTACCATTAATGACATGTTGAGGTTACCCAAATTTCATATCATGTTTAAAATAATTTTATATTTCACACCAAATTAAACTATGCTATATTAATTAAAACGAGGGGTGTACAATTGTTTTTTCGTAGGCGGATCCCCATAGAGAATGTGATGCTCAAGCACCCATTGCCCATGGTATTTGATGCTCAAGCACCCATTGCCATGGTATCGAACATATAATTTTATACACAATTTTGCATGAAATGCATATATATTTAGGAGAGCACCCATTACTCAAACACATTGGTGGGTGCTACTGGTTTAGTTAGGTGTTGTCCTGATTTTCTTATCTTGAAGGAAATGACAACATGCTTACCATAATTGGATTTTCCTATTCTTAGAAAGAAACATAAATCTCTCATATTTGGCGAGTCTTTTTTCTTGTAGGAAAAAGTTTGGATTTCAATAAATTGAGGATCCTTCCTTCTCGTTCAGTAGCATCCACAAATGTAGCCATATGGGGTTTGAAAGTTATGTTTAGGGGGAGAACATTATGAGACAAATGCTAGTGTGTCATTTGTGTTTGCCTCTTCGTGAGGTTGTTCTCTCAATATTTTGTACTTTCTTTTATATAGTAGATTGCCCATCTCCATCCATGGACGTAGGTCAATTGACCGAACCACGTTAAATATTTATGTCTTTTTTGGTATATTTCTCTTTTGTTATTTGATTTATCGTCATTCAAGATTTGCTTACTAGATTTCGCATGACACCTGATTATTTTCGGTCCTAACAAGTGGTATCAGAGTGAGGTTCAAGACATGTTTATCTTGGCAGGTTCAGTTCTAGTCGTAACATATTTGACGATAATCGTGTTTTTTGTCTGAGAAATTTGACCTTAGTACTACTCACGTTGAGACAAACTTTGTGGTGGAGATTTGGAGATGCGACCTGTTGAAGGTTATGTGAAGAAGGATGATCAAGTTTATTTCGTCAGAAAATTCAGGCCAATGGAGAGAATTTTAGGTGTTGACCTGATTTTTTTTCACCATATTTGATTTTCCTATCTCTTGAAGGAAAGGGCAACATGTTTACCATAATTGAGTTTTCTTTTTTGTAGAAGAAAATTTTAAATCTTCCATATTTGGCTAGTCCTTTTCTGGTAAGAAAAACTTCTATAAATTGAGAATCCTTCCTTCTTATTCAGTAGCTTCCACAATGTAGCCATATGGGGTTTGAGAGTCAAGTTTAGGGGGAGAACTTTACGGGACAAGTGTTAGTGTATCACTTGTGTTTGCCTCTTCGTGAGGTTGTTCTCTCGATATTTTGTACTCTCTTTTATATAGTGGATTGCTCATCTCCGTCCATAGACGTAGGTCAATTGACCAAACCACGTTAAATATTTGTGTCTCTTTTGGTATATTTCTCATTATGTTGTCTGATTTATCATCATTCAAGTGTTGCTTAACTAGCTTCCGCATGACACCTGAATTTTTTGGTCCTAATAAGTAGTATTAGAGCGAGGGTCAAGACATGTTCATCTTGGCGGGTTTAGTTTTAGCCGCAACGTATTTAACGATAATTATGATTTTTATCTGAGAAATTTGACCGTAGTGCTATGCACGTTGAGACAAACTTTGTGGTGGAGATCTGGAGATGCAACCTGTTGAAGGTTATGTGAAGAAAGTTGATCAGGTTTGTTTTGCGAGAAAATTCAAGTCAAGTGTGAGAATTGTTAGGTGTTGTCCTGATTTCTTACCATGTTTAATTTTCTTATCTCTTGAAGGAAATGACAACATGTTTACCATAATTAGGTTTTCCTATTCTTAGAAAGAAACATAAGTCTCCCATATTTGGCGAGTCCATTTTCTTGTAGGAAAATGTTTAGATTTCTATAAATTGAGGATCCTCCTTTCTCATTCAGTAGCATCCACAAGGTAGCCATATGGGGTTTGAGAGTCATGCTTAGGGGGAGAATTTTACGGGACAAATGTTAGTGTGTCATTTGTGTTTGCCTCTTTGTGAGGTTGTTCTCTCTATATTTTGTACTCTCTTTTTTATAGTGGATTGCTTATCTCCATCCGTCGACGTAGGTCAATTGGCTGAACCATATTAAATGTTTGTGTCTCTTTGGTATATTTCTCTTTTGTTATTTGCTTTATCATTGTCAAGGTTTGCTTACTAGATTCCGCATGATACCTGATTATTTTTGGTCCTAACAGTTAATGGAATCTAAGGATGTTCTGATTCCTACGTGATGCACTCTTTCTGCTCAGATAGTTCTTCTCTTCGTATTTTTTATTCCTTATTTTTTTTCCGAATTTTTTTCTTATTCGCCTAACTTTTTTTTCGTCTCCCTTTTACATGGTTTTCCTTTCTGTTCTTAACTTTATCGTTGTTCCTTTCTTCAATTCATTTCGTTAATCGTGGCATAAAAAGAAAATATATTCAATTTACCACCACCAAATTTGACAGCTTATATTGTAGTTTGGAATTCTCACAATAATGATATATTCAAGAAAATACAAATATTCATATTTTTGGTCATTCTATTTATTATTTATCCGTATTAAATATAAGTAGTTCGAAAATTTTATTAGATTTGTCTAAATCCGACCCCTCCCACCATTACCTTGAAATACTGGATCTACCACTTATTTTTGGACTAAATTAAACATTAAACTATGGATTCAGGAGACGACCCATGGAAGAAAATACTCCCTCCGGTCCAAAATAAGTTATTTTTTGGCCTTTTTTTTGTGGTCCAAAATAAGTGATTTTTTCCAGATTTCAAGAATGAATTAATTATTTTTTTCCTACATTGCCCTTGAAGTAAATAGTATTGGAATATGTGTTAGGAGTATTTATGTGAAGAAATAGTAAAGGTTAATATGATCAATTTTATTGCTAATTAATGTTAAAAGATGAATTTCTTAATCTATGTGAAAAGAGCTAAAAAATCACTTATTTTGGACCGAAGGGAGTATGAGTTATGCAAAGGTACGAGTTTATCTATTAATGATCAAGAATACATAATTTGTCACATCCCCAAGAAAATAGCATGTGGTAGACACGCTCCAGTGTGCAGATACCAACTGTGAAACGCACTAAGAGGTCCATTGATTGATTGGAGTGGTGAGCCAATGGCTATAGGTCGGTGTTTCCTGTGGGAGGCCAACTTTTTGTATTAAAGAAAAGGCAAACGAAATTATATCCTCTAATACTACTAATCTAATGATATTAGTATAAAATTCCAAAAGATAGTAACCAGTTTGATTGAGAACAATATTTAAGAAAAATATAAAATTTTTGAACTTAGTGATATAAATTGAGGCACGTATATTTTGTAAATGTATAAATCATTATATAAAAATAAATTATTTTTAAATATAAAAAATAATATTTTTTATATGGACTAAAAAGAAAATACTCCATCTGTTTCAGTTTATGTGAACCTACTTCCTTTTTGGTCCGTTTAAAAAAAAATACTCATTTCTAAATTTGATAACAATTTAGCTTAAACTTACAATTCTATCTTTAATGCTAATCTTTTATAATCACAAAAATAATTCGATCCTTTTTTGACTTATTTACCACAAATTATAAAAATCTTTCATTTCTTCTCAAACTGCGTCGTCGCTCAAAAAAGTTGACATAAATTGACACAGAGGGAGTAAGTTGGAAGGAATAATACAAATTAGTATAATAGACAAACTGGTAAACCCACTACCATCATTCCGTTGATTTTATTCTCTGCACCTCTCAATTATTCTTCTTCGTATTTCGTGTTGGCTCTTCTTCTTCCAGTGAAGATACAGATTTTACAATATTTGCTGTTTGCACTTGTTCTGCCCTATAAACGGAAAGTATTGCTGTTTGCACTTGTTCTGCCCTATAAACGGAAAGTAAGGTCTAAGGACTAACCTGTTAGACTTTTATCATTACGTGCCTATTTTCTTTGGTTCATTAAATGAACTTCATTTCTTGATTCCACTCTTTTGACTTGTTCTTTTTATGCTCAATCAACATACCCTGCTAGTAAGGAATTTCAAGCACTTGTGTTATTTCTCTTCTTTAATTTTGAGGAATTTTGATTGGGTTTTAACTACTTTGTCTGAGTTAGGAAAGGGAAAATAGAAGGGTAAAGATTGTAGCTTTATTAATCTTTCTTTGGTGCCTGAACACTGGAGGAGAAAGTGAAAGATTTTGTAGCTTTATGGGTTCTGTTTATTTCCAGGATCAGACTTGGTAGTTTAAGCTGTTTCTCCTTCTGTCGATTTTTGTGTTTTTGCTCCCCTCTCTTTTGGTTTTCCTCAGTTTGCTATGAATAAAGATTAATTCGTTTTTAAATTGGGATAATTGCTTTAGTTAACTAGTTCACTAGATTCTGATTTTCTACATGTTGATGAGCTTATGCTCTTGGTATAACAGTATCTAGTGTTGTAATTTTGGTATCTTAACCAGTTCTGACTGTTTTTGCTCATTCTCTGCAATGTTATTCTGTCTTTTTTAAATTAACATGGAGCTCCACCATTCTCAATCTTGATCCCTTATTTGCTGGTCTAGATATGTTTCTGATTTAGGTTTATGAGTTTATTGGTTAAGGTTTTCACATTAAATGCAGCTGCTAATCAGTGGCGAAGCCAGGAAACTCAATAAGGGTGTTCAAATTTTGAACACCCTTTGCCCGTGAGCTATGCAAGGGTGTTCAAAGTCTATTTTTAATCAGTAACAAGTAATATTTTACCTTATACGTAGTATAATTGTTCGGTGAAGGGTATTCAGTTGATCTTGGGCCAACATAGCTTCGCCCCTGCTGCTAATTCTTATTTGATGGTGATACCTGATATTGAAGCTATCCTTCAAATTTCTTAGGTACTATTTGTGGTCAGCTTCATGGATTCTCCACAGTCTGTTGTATCACCATTTAAGGGTTCCTCTGTTTTTGTCGACTCCGAGAAGCAAAGCAGTGAATTTTTCATCAAGAATCCTTCTGGACTATCCGAGGGAATTTCTGCTCGCAGAGAGGAGGCTGTTGCCCGCAACGTGGAGGACTTCATTGGTGTTCTCGACGTGTATGTACATCAGGCTAGAGATATCCACAACATCTGCATTTACCATAAGCAAGATGTTTATGCAAAACTTTGCCTTACTAGTGATCCTGAAAATGCAGTCTCCACTCAGATCATTAATGGCGGTGGGCAATCTCCAGTCTTCAATGAGAATCTAAGGCTCAAAGTTCGTACGATAAAATGCTCGGTTAAATGTGAGATATGGATGATGAGCAGAGTGAGGAATTATTTGGAAGACCAACTGCTAGGATTTGCACTAGTCCCCCTTTCTGAAATCCTTGTCAAAAATGGAAAGCTAGAAAAAGAGTTCTCTCTTTCGTCGACCGATCTCTATCACTCCCCAGCAGGATTTGTACAGTTGTCCGTTTCTTACAATGGTACTTCACCTGAAGTGCTTGAAATTCCTTCATTGCCTGTATCTGTGGACACTGATGCATCTCGGGCCCCAGATAGCGAGACACCCGAGTCGTTGCTTAAGGAGTTTGATAAAATTGAGTTCCCAGATCCTAAGATTGTAAATGAAAATAATCTTATGGTCTCTGAGTACTTTAATATACCAGGCACTAATCTGGATTCTCAAAGCTCAGATAGCTTTGTCTCTTCTGATACTGAAAATCAGCTCAGTCCAGATGTAGATGTCCATATGGGAAGTTTTCCAAGTGGAGTTGCTAATTTCCACCAATATCCTAAGCGCGATTCCCCTCCTAGCAGCGTATCAACCATCGACTCTCCATCCGCTTTGCACCCTGCAACCTCTCAGTCCTCTGATACCCAAGGAGCTTCAAAATCTCCGGGGGAAGAATATGCTTCAGCTCCTAAAGCCAGTGGAGATGCTGAGAGTAACATATCGGAAACCAAGCCTAGCAGTGCATTTCCAAAGCCAGTGGTTGCAGTGAACATTGAGCCAGAGCAAAAGGTTGTGCAACAGGATATCGTGGATATGTACATGAAAAGTATGCAGCAATTTACTGAGTCCTTGGCAAAGATGAAGCTTCCATTGGACATGGAAACTAGGCCAACAACTTCTGGTAATTCAAGTTCAGATCAGACATCGCAAACACCCAAGAGCACTGGCTCACGGGTGTTCTATGGCAGCAGAGCTTTTTTCTGAGCTTTTGCGAATGGTTCTCAGATGACCTATAGCGATTAGGACCAAGTATAAAAGGATAAACGAACACTTAAGGATTTTATGAATGTGGTGTTTTATCCATTTTATGATTTTAGCCCATGGATAATTAAAATGCTCTGAACTAATAGACTTAGGTCCGTTGAAGACTTGTTTTACTTCTGTACCATGTTAATTAGAACTTTGTGCTTAATTTATGCTCAGCATTTCCCTTGAAATAATCTGATTATGTGCTGTGCTATTTCATCATCATCATCCTCAATATACTAAGATTCTTATCAGCAATCATATGTGTGATACGGTATTTAGTATGCTACAAGACACCATTCTGAGACAACATACAGTCACCACTGGCCTTGCATGCCATTGTCTGATATTATTTATGCAGATAATGTCACATACATACAGAAAGCAGAAAAGCCCTCAAACTAAAAGGCTTACAGATGCTTCATTGAACCAGGGGTGGATTCAAAAGAAGTCATAGAAGAAGGAGAGATGTCTTCTTGATCATTCACAACTTCCTCAATTATCTCCAAAACCTCTGTCATTGTAGGCCGCTCCTCTGGCAAACGCTCCACACACTTGAGTGCTACATTTAGTAGAGGGAAAGCATACATTTCAAAGCAGGCAACTTCACTATCAAACACCTCTCCAGTCCATTCTTCCCGCACTATAGATTTCACCCATTTGACAAGGTCTAATCCAGTTTTCTCCACAACTTTACCTGTCAGCAATTCCAGCAGAATCACCCCAAAGCTATAGGCATCAGCTTCTTCTGTCGACGTCTTCTCAGGGGCTGTGTAACCATTGTCATTGTAGAAGCAACTCTTGTTGGGGTCTAGGAACTTGCAATATCCATACTCACTTATTAATGGCTCCTCATTTTCGTTTAACAGAATATTTGATGGCTTAATGTTGCCATGGGGAATGACATTGCCTTTCTTAGAACTTCTGTATATGAAAGCCAATCCCCTTGCTATGCCAACTGCAATTGACAGCCTTAGTTTCCATGGGAAATTCCTTTTCCCCTCTACATAATCTGCAAGTGAAAAGAACAACAAAATGATCAAACAACAACCCAGTAAAATCCCACAAGTGGGGTCTGGGGAGGGTAGAGTATACGCAGACCTTACCCCTACCCCGGAAGGGTAGAAAGGTTGTTTCCGAAAGACCCTCGGCTCAAGAAGAAGGAAATAAACAATAGACAATAGATCAGTGACAACAAAAGAAGCTAGACAAATAATATCAGCATCGTAAGAGATATGATCAAATACTGAAAATTGTAAAATCTTGGACACTGTAATTAGTTCTCAACTTAATTCACTTACTTTCAAAAAGAGTAAGTAGACTTCCATTGTTCTGGTATTTGTAGATAAGCAATTTTTCTTCATTGCTAGAGTAATAAGCAACAAGTGGAAGTACATTTTGATGTTTCAAATTCCCTATTCTTTTCATTGTTTGGGAAAATTCTTTGAACCCCACTTGTAGTTTCTTCAGTCTCTTGACAGCAAAAACACCACTGCTACTGATATGGACTTTGTAAAGGCTGCTACAAAGGCCTTGTTTTCTCAAATTAGCAGTTGCTTCAAGAAGATCATCCATTGTAAATTTTTCCACATCTTGCATGAAAAAGCATAGTTCTGAGCTTTTTTCTTCAGTCTTACATACTCCATCCACAACCTCAGCTGAGGGAGTTTTTCGAGGAGACGAATAATTAGCTACTTCTTTTAAAACCTCCTTGTCCTTTGCTGATCTAACACATCTCGTGTACAAGAATACTAAAACCACTAAGACAAGAACAATTGCAGCAAATATGAGTAGCCAAACCATCAAGTTTATATGATGCTTTGTTTTTGTCTTCTCACCTTCTCTAGTTGAAGATGGAGCTATAAACATATATGTAGATTCTTTCATTTTTACACCTCTCAACGCTTGTAGACTCGTCAAAGGTTGTGAAAAAATGAAATTGTTATTAGAAACGTTCAGTTTCTTAAGATTCTTGATCATTGTCAAAGAGTGCAGTAGAAATGATGAATTTCCATTGAGAAAATTGCTGCTTAGATCAAGAACAGTTAAGCTTTTACACCTTGATAGAGATTCAGGAATTATCCCTTTAATTTTATTCCTTGCTAAGCTAAGAACTCGCAATTTTGAGAGTTTACAGAGGGATTCTGCATCAATTATCCCACTGAGATTCATGTTTTCAAGCCTTATTTCTATGACTTTACCGGTACGTAAATTGCACTTAACACCTTGTAATTTGTAGGAGCAAGGGTTGTAAGTCACTGAAGAATTGCACTTAATTCCTAGTACATTGTTTGGATCAATAGCAAGAATAAAATTGAGGAAGGACTTGGATTCGATTAACTCACCTCCATTACAGAATCTGATAAAAAGAAGAGAAGCTAAAACACTTAGAATCAACTTGATGAGAAGATTATCCATATATTTAGCTAGAAGAAATGTTGTTGCCTTGACATATCCTCAGAAGTTGTACATGGTTACTGAATGTGTTAACATAATTTTGTGACTTCATTTTCTTCGATGCAAACAATTTAGTCACAGTTTCCAAAGTTTCCATGTTATGACTTGACCTCTATTTTACATTGTAATATTCATTATATATTTCTATTCATACTACAATGACTAGGATTGGACTTGCAATTTGGCATACCTCGATAAATATGTCTTGACAAAGATCACATCTTTTCTGAACATTACAAGGTAGTAGTGTCTTTACTGTCGAAGCCTTTAACCGTTCAAAAGTTATGTTAGGCCATCTCCGCTTACCTCCATTTTCTCCCCCAAAATACAATAATCTCCAAATGATTAGAAAAATATTTTTGGTATCTCAAAAACAAATATTCTAAAATTATGTCTAGATTCATTTTCTTATTATTACATTAATGAGTCATTATTGTAGTAATTATTTTAAAAATATTTGTAACAGAAAATTAGTTAATTTTGAATTCAATTTGGGACAAAATAAATTAAACAATTGAATTCTCATGGATTTGTACGTTATTGAGAAGTCAATAACGTTAGTATTGGAAAATAAATGACTAATGTTAATGGCTTTAAGACTTAACGTATAGCTTTTATGGTTGAATATTTCTGATGGTTTATTTTCCTTGAATAGCCTCTAATATGGAACAGAGAGTACTTCTGTTTTAGTCTATATATACCTCTTCGTCTTCATAACAGAAAAGTAGTGAAAAAACAAACTTTAAAACTTTTCTTCCCTTTTCTTTTGTGCTGAGTTTTCTTCTTGTGAATCTTTGTTGTTTCTACTCCTAGTTATACTACAAGAGCTTGTTGAATCCTGGGGGATACACCTAATTTTATTCATCACGGTGTGGGTGAAATATCCTTAAAGACAGTATCTTTGACACGCCTTAAGCTAAACCTTTATTCTTCATAATCACCAATTATTTACAACAGTATTAAGGATATTTTCGCGTAGTTATTATGGAGAATAACGCTGCTAATGTTGCTGTTGATGCTACTACACCTGCTGCACCAACTGTTTCTGTTGCTGTTCCATCACCAATTACCTATGCCAAACCTTTTCCTGATGTTTCGAAAATTTAGGTTTTTGGTGGAGATAATTTTAAGCGCTGACAGGAACGTGTGCATTCTATTTTGGATATGAATGGAGTTGTTTTTTCACTTGCTGATCCTAAGCCAACTGAAACAACTTCCATTCGGATGGATCAATGGGTTCATGCTAATAAGGTATGTAGACATACTATAATTTCAACTCTTTCTAATGAATTGTTTGATGTCTACATTTACTACAAGGAGGCAAAAAAAATCTGGGAGTCAATACTAACAAAGTACACTGCCGAAGATGCTACTAAACAAAAGTTTGTAATTGGAAATTACTACAAGTGGGAGATGACGGAGGACAAGGACATAACTGCACAAATCAACGAATATCACAAGTTGATTGAAGATCTCAAATCTGAAGATATTTCTCTGCCCGAACAGTTTGTTGCTGGTATGCTTATAGAAAAACTTCCCAAATCTTGGAGAGACAACAAACAACAATTGAAACACAAACACAAGCAATTGTCGCTGAAGGACTTGGTCAAACATATTATAATTAAAAATACCAATCACAAGCAAGCTGTTGGTGACGAAGGAAAGGAGATTGCTACAAGAGCCAACCTGGTGGAGAACAATAAGCGGCAGAACAAATCAAATAACATGTCATAAAGGAAATGGTTATAATCCCAAAACCAACAATCAAACCTTCAAGAAAAAAGGTAATTGCTTTGTGTGTGGCAAACCTGGCCATCATGCTGCTCAATGCCAGAAGAGGGTTGGGAATGACAATCCTGCTAAGGTCAAAGTAAATTTAACTGAAGCCAAAATGGATGACATAATTGCTGCAGTTGTTTCCCAAGTGAACCTTATGGCCAATGTGAAAGATTGGGTGTTAGATTCGGGTGCCACTAGGCACAAATGTGCTAACAAAAAAGACTTTGTGTCTACACCCAAGTTGAGGAAGGAAAAGAAGTTGTATATCTTGGTGACTCAAGGACTACCCAGTTCTTGGAAAAGGCAAAGTACTTCTCAAACTCACATCTGGCAAAACTTTGGCATCGAGTGACGTATTGCATGTTCCTTGTATCCGAGCTAATTTGGTCTCTGTGGGATTATTAAGAAAAGTTGGGGTGAAAGTTTCTTTTGAATCTGATAAGGTCATGTTGACCAATAATAATAATTTTGTTGGCAAGGGTTATTATAATCATGGCTTGTTTGTACTCAATGTTATCAATAAAAATTGTTCACGACCCAAAGTTTCCACCTCTCGGGAGTCGTGATGGAGCTTACTAATGAGAGCTAGGCAAACCAATACTTAACTACTTATTTCATTGTTAAATTACTTCTTTTTAACAAATATAAGTCAATAACAAGAAAACAACGGAACTTTAAATAATTAAGCGGAAGATAACAATTAAATGTCTGAAATCTGCATCTATTACAAATACTTAAGTCTTAACCACCCAAAACCTGGTGTCACAGTATCACAGAAGGTCTAAGATTTACTACATACAAGGTCTGAAGAAATAATAATACACTGTTTCTGAATGTAAGGAAAAATGAAACAGGAAAGTAGGGATAAAAGGGGACGCCAGGGCCTGCGGACGCCTGCAGGTCTACCTTGGATCTCCGCGTGGACTGAAGGTAGCCTCCACACTATGGTCCAAAAGCTGC